GAATTCCTGCATTTTTCTTAATCTTATCGGAATATTGGAAACTAAACATCATTGAGATGGGAGTAATCTCTGTGGGCCCCGCTGTGAATAACGTGTGGTAAAAAAATTGTATCTTTTCATAAGACATGGGGTTGTCAACTGAAACCAAAGGTTTTGACCCAGGAAATTGTACATACATTATGACACACCCTCTGGTGTTGGCTAATATACATGTCAAGTATAAAGTATGAAATTATAACAGAACTCTAGATATAGAGCGGACACGATCTGTTACGGACGGACGGACGGACGGACAGACTGATCACTATAGGGCGACCCGCCAATTGTTAGGGCCCTGATAACTGTTCTTGCCAACAGCGGATTCATTATTCTGAGTTATATATGATAAGCGTATTAGCTAGAGATTAAGGTTATATTTAATTTTAGAACGTTTTCTTTTTTTACATCGCTTTGATATTGTTTAATGTTTTTAGTAAATTTGCAGTTATAAATATTCTTTTAATAGCATTAATGGTACCAATTTTACTGCACCAGTAAACTTCAACTAGTTTTGATTTTGTCATTTAAAAAAAAAAAAAAAAACTTTTATATAGTTTCAATCACAAATCTGTTCAAGCTGCTAAATGTGCTTCGGTGCTTCGGTGCATTTGTAATTCATTTATAGAAACTCTTTGTTTTAAACTGTAAACATGCCTAAACAATAGGATAATCCCTTACTACGAACATGATTTACTTTCAATCTTCACAATTAAGAAACACCAAATCCTACTATTTCATTGGCTGAGAGCACTTTGCTATATTCAAAGGTCATTTGGTATTGCAGTTGGTTTGTTTTTGTTTTAATTTCAAATCGGTCAACCGGAAAATTAGCATGTCCTTTAGTGACTTACCTGTATTATTATTTTTTTGGAAGACCAGTAATGATACACATTTATTGTTTAATTTTGTAGTGTCTGATAACTAATTTAAAGTGTTAGTCCTGAAACAGCTTTATATTCACACACGGAATAAAAAAAATATAGTAATAATAATAAATAGATTTTTAAAGTCAAGTTATATTTACAGTAGCTATTTGAAATTATTAATCATTATATAATTTTCAATAGGTACAAAATATATATGTATAGATTGATTGAATATATTTTCACTTTTTTTTCCAAATTTGATGCTTGCAAACATAAATTTTTTTACAGAACGCATGAGCTCCTTGTACATATACTGCTTTTATTTTATATGTTCACATGCTTTTATACATACCATTTGAAGTCATCAATTAAGTGTATTTGCATAGTTTATTGTTTACACAGCCCTTTTTAAACATGTGTGTCTGATCTATTTTTGACAATGGGAAGTGATGCGATCACACACAGGATAACGATAGGGCTATTTTACGGCAAAATTATTGGAGTACTTACAAGAAAAGAGATAAAAATACATGTCAATAAGTACCATGTATTTTCCTCATTTATGTTATGGCTTTGTTGCTTAATTATAAACAACTTCTTATCTATGCTGAAAAAAAATTACCAGTCTTCTATATTAGTGTTACATATGCAAATATGTTGATGTTGACAGGAGATGTGGAATCAAATCCATCCCTGCGGATACAGTAGACATTTCAGACCAAAGTCTATCAATTTTCCACTGTAACATACGCAGTTTGAGAAAAAACTTGATTATATTTCAAATGTTATAGAAGAATTCGGTATCATATTTTTTCCAGAAGCTCATTTGGCTCCTTTTATTTCCAATGTAAAAAATATACTTCCGGCATTTAAAACACTTATACGAAAAGACAGCAACTGGAGGTTGTGTTATTATGTATTATAACAGTACATCAATATAAAGCGGCGCCTAGATTTGGGGCACGATAGTCTAAAATTATGCGGTTTGAGTTGAAAACGAAATTGCAAGTGATATTGAATAACGTAATTTATCGATCTGAGAGCTTTTTGCTGTCCAATTTTTGGCCACTATACGATATGATGTTGAAAGGGGCCTTAGACGAAACTAATCATATTATTTGTTTGGGTGATCTAAATAAAAATTTCTAACTACATTTGTGGTAACTCTCCCTAACTGTATCAGTGATATACTAAGTATTCTTACTAATGATCTATTTCATACAACTAACAATGCTACTTATCTTGATTCAGGTACTGGTTCGTCGTCCTTATTAGAGGTTTCATACATATTGACAAAAAGTAAGAACGAACGTAAAGGAAGCATGTATTACACTCTCCCGATAAGGCTGAGAGTCTATGTTTTAACCGGTGAAACGGCTTTCTTTGTTAAAAGAAATGTATCTTTAAAAATGTAATCATATCGCAAATGAAAAAAACGCATTTAATATCTGAAAATAAAGGAAAATAGTTTAAATACACTTACGTTCGATGATTACACACATTTGCGCGGGAATTTTTCAAGCACGCTTTTATTTTTTAAATGTTTTAACCATTACTCCTTAACATTTTCATGAAATTCTTGTAGTATGATACTCTGAAATTAACGACAAAATTCACTGATTTTAATTATTTAATTTATCAATGAGTATGCCATCAACAAATTGTCAACGTGCATCATCGAGATTTGCCAGACAAAGAAACTACAATGAATGGAAAAAAATAGGGAAAAGAACCTGGGAGAAGGGAAAAAAAAAGAGATTTTGTGATGACGTTTTTTTCAATCTATTCAAACATTTGTCAAAGGTTAAAAGTTAAACAGAAAATATTGCGACACTTGCGATCGCATGAAATAAATGTAAAACGAAATAAAAAAAAATAACCCCCTATGCCCACCCAATCCCACTGAAAGTTGAATGGTCGTTGCCTTTGTGCTGATATTTTGTAGTCGTTTTGCAACTGGTAATATCATCAATTATTGCTAGATGCATGATTAATCTTAAACGTCGTCAATTGGTTAAAAATCACTCACTTTTTGTAGACTAATCAGTGGTGCATTTAGCATTCACAGAACACAAGCTTTGTAAAATAAAGTGTCAAATTTTAAGGAACAATTAACACACACGCAAACACACACAACTGATACAATAACCAACACACAAATACATTATAATCTACATCAATGGAAATAGAGTTCAATATGAACGATATATAGATCACACTGTATAACAAACGCTAAATAGTCCAAAACAAAAAAAAAAAAAAAAAAAAATCATCATACAAATTATACAAAAAAAAACCAAAAACAAAAACAAACAAAAAACGGAAAACTTAGATAATGCAGGAGGTTAAACGTTTCTGCCTCTGGCTTAGTTGTTCATGTGATAGATCAATGCCAGAATAGAAGGGTAGGAATATGACACATCAGTTGCACCCACTTCTAAATCCGTCCTTGTGCTCTAATTATAGATCAACTAATTATGGATCTGGTTTTGTTTATTTACATGTATTACACATCTTAGTGATTAAGCGATCCCGTATTATATTTTCTGTGTCATTTTTTTCCAATTTGACTATTCTCGGAGGGTTTCAAAATTAAAAATTAAGTAGTAATTTTCTTTTGGGGAGGGGCTGTTTGATTTATATTTGCATCGGTATTTTCTTATGTTAAATAATGCAAATAGGTATTATTTTTTATTATTATTATTATTGTGTTTTTTTAGGGGGTGATTTTGGGGGGGGGGGGGGGGGGGGGAGTTGAGCACAATTATTTTTTCTTTGTATTAATTTTCATCTGACGAGTCTATGTTTGCCAAATTTTGTTGAGTTGTCTTTGTTTTATTATTGTTGTTTACATTGTACGTAAAAAAATTCCTATGTAGCATACACATTCGAGTTTGACATATGTAATTGCATGCGCGCGGCATGCAGTGTAATAGTTGAGAGACAGCCTTGATTAATATTACATAAATAGAATTCAAAAGTAAAAATAAAGTATCCCTCAATCAGGTCTTACGTATGATTCGTCATGCGTATGTACCTTTCGTCAAATTGTAAGAAAGCTCTAATAGACCCGATATCAATAAATTATCGGTCCTCCCACTGTCTATATCCCAGCAAACAATTCAACATTTTAAAAACGTTTTAAAAATGTTTTGTTTTGGTTTCTAGAATGTTTTATTAAAACGTTTTAAAAACCAAAATTTGTAGACTCTTATAAATGTTTCAAAAACATTTTGAAGAAACGTTATTTTGGAACATTCAGAAAACGTTGAAATAAGGTTTTATGAAAAACGTTTCTGTCAACCTCCAACAAACATTTTCAACACATTTGTGTAACAATGATGCATTAGTTCGACCACCATTACTTTGGTTTAAAAATATATAATTGATTGTGCAGTGTTTTGTATTTCATTCATTTCTTAATTGGTAATGCACGTGTTTAATTGAAGAAAAAGCAACATCTCCATAAGCTTGGATGGATGGTTGGTTGTTTAACGACCAGTGGCAAGTCAGATGCATATTCTGGATGAGAACATGATTATTAGAAATTAATACCCTGTCTTGTAATAGACCAACATGTTGTGCCAGATTTTTTGGTTCTAGCCCACAAGGCAAGTTTGCAGGATGACATGTCACATTATTCTGACTACGGGCCAAGAAGTCTTTGCTCTAACTCATTTTGGGGAAAAGCAACAAATAATAATTTCATTGTCATTGGTTTGGCCAGGCCGAAGTTCCAACCCACAACCTCCGCACTTGAGGCGACCACACTCACCATTACACCAAAGCTCTAAAGGAAGATATTCTTTATAAAAAAACTATGCCAAAGCAAAGCTTGTCAACCTCTAACTGTTTAAACTTGGTCCTGTGACCTTGAAAGTCAATTCAATAAAGTTCTTGCGTTGACAAGGAGATAACATATATCTCTTAAACCGAGAATTTGACATATTATCATAATAACTTCAATCAATGATCTAGTTTATAACCAAAGCTTCAATTGTTGCAGAAATTGGAATACAGTTTTATAAACATCATTTATCACTTTGCAACAAAAAAAAAACAGTATTGACAGGACTAAAATCAGTAGAATCAATGTACTTTTAAACAGATTTATTTGTTCAGACTCCAATTCTTCTTGCGCAATCGTCTGTCCTTTTCTTACAGGTTTCTGAAATGATCAAAAGCAATTTGTTAACGAGATCAGTACGCCCAAGTACACTGTTTAGCATATAACTCTCAACCCCAGTAAGTTGTTGTACTCCCTTTCAATCAAGCTATTTCATTAAATCTATAAAGGGGAAATTAAGCTATTTTTTGCAATCCAAGTAATTATTAAGATAGGCAAAAAACATAAATAATATTTTACATGTCAAAAGCAATTGCTACAAATGTAAATCTCAATGTTTTATTTGCAGGATAAAGACAATAGTTCCATCGTCAAGAACATAATGATGTATTATTCTAATGTCTCTAAATAAACAGAAGTTCTGCATGGTTGGCAAATGTTATATTGCTATAAATGGCTCAGAAATTTGTGTATAGATAATCAAATTGCAAAACAAACTTTTAAATAAATAAAACCTTCCACTTAAACGTATATTAAGATATTTTATTCAATTGAAAAATACCTTATATTTTGGTCCTCCTGGCTTGTGTGGGGCCTGTTTTAGGAAGTCAATTAAGAGTCCATCCATATCGGAAACCTTGGATTTTGGGAACACTCTTGCACAACTTTCTGAAAAAGTATTACAGAATTAAAAAGATATATTTCATTATTATTTTTAACTTCTCTAAACTTTTATAAATATATATAATAACTTTATGTAACTTTTCACTCTTTTTCTATCTAAAATAATAAGTGAGAAACATTATATTCATATTCATCATATGAATTCTTTTTGAGATTAAAGTCAGATAAAAAATCCAATCTATATAAATAGCACTTGCTTTTAAATGTTCGACATATTTTCTTAATCAACTTACTCAGGATTATCCTGCACAAAGGGTGACCTGTGAATGCCTCTTTTCCCTTTTGCCCCTTCAGACTGTATTTGGCCCATAACTGATTAGTGCCACACTTTTTCATCATCCTTCCTATACAGTTTGAAGGGCTCTGACCACCCTGTGACACCAAATACTGGACCTACAAAATTACAATTTAGTCCTGTTGTTATTTTATTTTTCGTGAAATCAAATATTTGTTTTATAAATAATCGTGTCCATGAACCAATCTTAGCAAAACCTACTAATATTATTGCCTAAAAGATATTTTATTTCTTGTCCGTATCGAGTTTCTATAATGATTTTCCATGTATCGCTGTGTATAAGTTATATGCAATTTTATATGCATTTGAATGTTTGTCTTCAATTACAGGTTTATTCTATTAATGCATGATTGTTTTATTCATATATATAGCATGTTTCGCTTATATGTATTTACTTTAAATTAATATATATTATCTTTAACTGTTAAAATCTGATTTGACCTTTTCTCGGTCGATTGTTCTGGTGTTACATTATAAACTTTTACACATCTATTTATTTGAAAGGATTTTCCCCAACGTAAATGATCTGTGGTAATCAACACTGGTCGTATATGAATTTCTTTAATTGATGATATTACACCTGGTGTTTCGGATATCATTCAGGTCAAGTTCGATCAAAGGCCGTTCATCCTCGTCAGGTGCCCTTGCATAATATTTTTATTTACTATCGATAACATTTGATTATGATTACTTTTTAACAGTTATCAATATGTTTCTATCGTGTAACGTATCAAATGCAGTTACATTTTGCGGTATACTGAATTGTTCATGACTGGTAAGTTACAATCAATTTTAGTCAGACATAAGATATCTTGTAAAATGAGGCCCAGCACTGGCAGCACGGCTATGGGTAATCCAAAAAAAATATGACGTCTTGAAAGGATATTTTTGATTTTTGCTGTTGCTACGAAGTTGGAGGACACCACATTTTTTTTTTTGTCAAATAAGAAAGCCGTACAAAACGTCATTGTTATTTGACTACGCTCTGGGTAGTTTAAATGATTAATTATGCTGTCTTCGGGTGCTTGTTTTTATTTAACTCGTGTAAAAGTCAGACCAGTAGCCCACGAGGCATGACAAATTGACACGTGATGGCATCATGCAGTGGTGAATGTGAATTTATGCCTGTAGTAGTTAAATCTGTTAATCATGTAAATAGACTCATGCAAATCATACGAATGTCATGGAGAAAATAATGCAGTAATTTCTCTCAATTTCTACAAAATACCTCGAATGTTTATTGATTTTATACATACCTCATAGACTGAACGCTATTCTGTAGAACTGCTCTTCTAGCATGTCTAGTGTCGTTGTTTTCCCAATTTAAAAAAGGCGGTGACAGTGTCCGGAAGTTTCGAACAAATTTTATCTAATGAAGAATTCTGCTTTAATACAAATTATTGTCGTAAATAATACATTTTCTCAATTAAAATGTCTATCTTCGAATATGATAATACTTTAGAGATGCGATTAATGGAAATATAGAAATAAAATACGAAACTAACTAATAAGTTACAACTGGTTCCCGGTTCTACAGAAAAGAAACCAGTTATTAGAATACAAGAATTTTTTTTGACATAACATATCATCATATCGACAGATCGAAGATGACTTTTTGTAAATTTAAAATTGAAAGTAATTATTAAAAACAAAAATATTGCGGTGATATGGGAAACATGATTTATAAAGTTTTTCTATGCTTATTAAAAAACATTTTTGAAACATTATTAAAAAACAAAATTAAAAACGTTGTTTTATAATGTATTATTTATGTTCATCAAAAACATTTTTGAAAAAATGTTTTTTTTACGTTTAAAAAATGTTTGCAGAAACATTTCTACTATAGTTACAGAAAACGTTTCAATTTAACCTTTTAAAAACATTTCTTAAACGTTTTTTCGACACTAACTTATTTGAAACCTTTAAAAAACGTTTCTAAAATGTTCTGTGTTTGGTGGGATCACTCTGCTCAGCTCTTAATTAAATTGCATATCACGGCTTTGTGACGTCAATTACAGCGACCCGGCTTTAATAACTTTGACCCGGACATATCAGCAACGTCATAATGTTTCAACGGACGTTGATAAGCTTGACCCGAACTTCGAGCATTCCCCCGGTTTGCTGGTGAAACAAAGAAAACACTTCCAAAAGACGCAAATACAGCACGATAAATCCATTATCAGGTTATCTGCATATTGAGATTGTAAAATATCAGCTGCTCCACACAATATGAAGGCTTTTTGATCTCGTTCGGTATGCTCACTTCCAATAAAAGAAGTAACTATTCGTTCTAATAATAAAATCTGGTTTACTTCAAAACTGCGTAAAGAAATAAGAAAACGAGACAGATTTGAAAAAATATTTAAAAAAAATAAAAGCACTACAAACGAAAGGAAATTTGAAAACCATAGAAATCGAGTGAATAATTCCATGAATTCAAAGATACAAATTAAACAAAGCTTTTATGAAAATATTAATGAAAACTTAAACAAACATAAGCAAACAAATAGTTGAGTATATAGGAAAACTATAAACTCTTTATTAAAAGAATACAGATCTACTAATGATATTCCGCCGTTGCAAAACACTAGTTATTTTTGGAATATTCTTATGAAGCAAAAGAAAAAGTTGACATTTTAAATATTTATTTTTTATAGCTAGCTTAATTAGATGAAGAAAACAAAAAACTTGCCTGACTACGATGATAGAGGTAATAAAGTTTTGTCAGAAATTAATGTACCTGAAGAAGAAGTTAAAGATATCATTAATAATTTAGATCCAAAATAAGCCGTTGGAACAGACACAATCAGAAATAAAATGCTGATAACAGTTAAAAATGAAATTGCACTTCCCTTATGTATTCTGTTTAACAAATTGCTCTCTCCAGAAGTATTTCCTAAAGATTAGAAATGGGCATATGTTATTCCTTTATTTAAAAATGGATACAAATCAATGCCGCCTTATTACAGTCCAGTTTCACTTCTTTCTTTTTTTCGTGAGCAAGTTACTAGAAATAAAATAATATTCAAATATGTGTTTAGTCATTTAGTTTCTAATAAACTTATGCAAAAATTTCAGTCTGGTTTCATTACCAGCTGTTCTACTTTTCGTGAACTAATTGAGATGTACCATTCTAGCTTGTATGCTTTAGACAATACATTTTATACAACTGTAACATTTGCTGATGTAAGCATGGCATTCGATGGCTTATGAATAAGGGGTCTACTTCTTAAGTTAGAAAAATATGGTATCAAAGGCAAGCTGTTATTGTGGCTTTTGAGTTAATTAACCAATAGAACTCAGAGGGTAGTATTAAACATTGTTATGAGAGGCGACCTCAGAATTAGGCAATCTTAAAGCTGATGTTCCACAAGGCTTGGTATGGGTCCCCTTTTATTTTTTATCTTCATTAATGACATTGCAGATGCTATGATTGGATTATCTACAATGACTGCAGACGAAACATCTATTGAACATACTACTTCAGATGAAATTATTCTTCAATCCATGAAAAAAGAGAGGCGAAAGATACCAAAGGGACATTCAAACTCACAAGTCGAAAATAAACTGACAACGCCTTGGATAGAAAGAAAAAGACAAACAAACAACAGTACACAAAACAGAACACAGAAGACTAAAGACTGAGCAACACGAACCCCACCAAAAACTGGGGGTGATCTCAGGTGCGCAAGAAGGATAAGCAGATGCTGCTTCACATGGTGCACTCGTCATGTTGCTCATGTTAGTACAAACCCGCTGATAAGTCTTATTCGGTAGGTCACATTCGGTAAAAGGGAACGGGATTGTGTTTACGACAGTTGGAACATATCTGTGAAATTCCTGGGCAAATGATTGTCTAGTTAAATTCAATCCAAATAAAACTAATATTGTATTATTCAGTATAAAGAATTCAAAATAACTTGATTTTTTATTTTGGTGGAGTTCAGGTACAGTTACTAGTCACAAACAATCAGGTTTATTTTTTAGTAGGGACGTCAAGCGGACCAAGCATGTAGATCATTTAATAGAAGTGGTATTAAAACAATTAAATGTTCTTAGACGTTTGAAATATACGGTTAGAAAGGGAAAATTTAGAAAAAATGTATTGCATTCAGGAATCACAGATCAAATTTATTCGTTCATTGTGTGTTAATTTACGTTTTTTGATTAAGTTAAGCCTTCCAATTGATATTTTATAGTGTGTCTTTCTATGTTGTGATGTTATACTATTGTTTCAGAAAAGGGAGAAGGTTTGGTACCATTAAAACGTTTAATCCCGCTGCAAATGTTTGCACCTGTCCTAAGTCAGGAATCTGATGTACAGTAGCTGTCGTCTGTTTATGTTTTTCATACGTGTTTCTCGTTTCTCGTTTTTATATAGATTAGACCGTTGGTTTTCCCGTTTGAATGGTTTTACACTAGTAATTTTTGGGGCCCTTTATAGCTTGCTGTTTGGTGTGAGCCAATGCTCCGTGTTGAAGGCCGTACCTTGATCTATAATGGTTTACTTTTATAAATTGTTACTTGGATGGAGAGTTGTCTCATTGGCACTCATACCACATCTTCCTATATCTATTTAACTTTAATTAGGCCCATTCTTCAATATTCTCCTGAAGTTTGGGACAATTGCGGAAAATTGAATTCTTAAAGATTAGAATAATTACAACTGCAAGCAGCACGTTTTGTCACTGGTCTAACAAGTTACGCTTTCACTCAATCACTCTATTTAGAAACGGGATGGGAAAAGTTAAAGATCAGACGGAATGTTAAAAATTTAACTCTATTTTCCAAAATACTGAATGAGGATGTTCAAGAATACTTATTAGATTTAATACCTCCAACCGTTACAGAAACAAACAATCTGTTGCTGTATATCATAATTGTTTTTCTTTCATAATTTTTTACATAGATCAAGTTTTCTCGTTTGAATTGTTTTACATTTGTCATCTCGGGCCTTTTATAGCTGACTATGCGGTATGGGTTTTACTCATTTTTGAAGGCCGTACAGCGACCTTTAGTTGTTAATTTCTGTGTCATGTGGTCTCTTGTTGAGAGTTGTCTCATTGGCAATCATACCACAATATGTACAATGTGTGAATCTTATATTTTCACTGTATCCGCTATGAATTTCTAATGTAGAATGATAAATAAACAGACGACAAATTCGTGATTTTTTAATAAAATAAAAAATAAAATATAATATGTACTGTTTTATAAATTCATGATATAGGTAAAAGATGCGAACGGGTTTTCATCGCGCCTACAGCTATCCTGGTGTTAATTTGATATACAAATAGATAGATATTAAGAAAAGTTCACGAACAGAGCGTGCAAGAGATTTAAAAGCAACAGTTAAGTTTCATTTGCAGAAAAATGTACATTTTAACATAAATATTAATGTTATATAACTTAAAACAGGTTTTGTCATTCAGCTTGTTGGTATTGAATTAAAGTCCACTATGCTGTTTTCGTTATGCGATTCATGTGTACTGTCGAATAATGATACTTGACTTTCATTTTCACTGTAGGGCGACTCATTACTATTGTTAGAGCGATGCATTTTCACAGAAGGAAATTATTTAATTTTCATCATGAAGTCTTAATTAAGTCCCTTTACAAATATATGAAGTCAGAAGGACTATTTATATATGCATACTTTGTGAGTGAAAGTCTGAGGTAATATATCAATAAATTCCGTAAAATTAGCATTTATTGCTAATATAGTCAATTCTATTTTCTCTAATAATTTGTCCAGATCTATTTGTAGGATAAATTTATCCTTTCCTATGACACGCCATCATTAAATACATATATCTTCGACAGTAAAGCCAATTCACGTCAGCGAAAATTAAAGTTTTCGGTTTTGGTGTAATTCTACATCACAAACTAATAAAACGTCATTAGAGCTATTTTCCTAATGCTTGTAGTTTAAAGGTGTGGTTAGCTTGCTCGCTTTGTTTGTATAAATGTTTGCTTAAATATTGTAATTATGATTGAGCAAATATATATACAAAAAAGCAAACAAGCTAAACAAACCTTTAAACTACAGGCATTAGGGAAATAGCTCTAATGAATGCATCTTTGATAACAAAGAGCGTTCAAAATACGATCTTCATTTCACGATTGAGTGAGTGGTTACGTTTGCATTTCGCACAATCAATTACCTTACATTTGACGCTTGGATGGCTGTATATTTGAAATTTCACATGTCATTGTGTATACAGTAAAGAAAGTTCGATCAACAATCGAGTCACCTTAATTCAAATTTGAATTTTCTTACAAATTGTTGTTACAAATAAGCAAATACGTAATTGTAAGAATACAAGGCCAAACTAAATACATATTATTGTTGTACATATTTGAATAGTTCTATGCCACGGGGTAAAACCGCCGTACAGTTGATTCCGGACGTTAATCGTTGCATCGGTAAGCGAGGTTGGTAGATAGACCGTCCTAATATTTTCACCAATGACTAATTGACGTACTGTTCAGTTAAGTATTCAATGTTTATGAAAACAAAGTTTTTGCGCCTGACAACATTGTATATCATTTATATTACATGAACACCTTGTGAGTCTTTTAAAGAGACAGGTCTGTAAATTACTTGTAAACATTCTGTGTAATTCAAACTTGATCAAACTACAAATAAAGGACAATTGGTTGGCCCTTACACTAAATGCGACCGTGTATTTTATGATTTGTTTAAAATACTTAATGCGAATGAGAAACCCGTTGTTTTATATTATTTGCAGACATTTAATTGAAAAACTGTCCTAAAAAATTTGGCAATGTACGATTCGTTGTCTGTGGAGTGTGTTTGCTGTCTTAAATACAATTCGTTGTAAATTCTTGTACTGTTCGTTGTGCGAAAGCCTATCAATATGGTAGAAATATGTATGAAACGGCGTGAAAAATTTTCAAAGCTTTTTCAAGCTAGTTATTAAACTTTTCACGGGAATTCGCAATAAAAATATGTTATATTCATGGATGTTCTACTCCAGTATATTTTCGGATCTATGACAAACTAATAGCAAACTCACCAAAATTATTTGAATATGCATGATATGAACGTGTATCACCTTAAGACGATGTGACGCATATCACCCCGACCTTTGTATGCGTATGACCTTTGACATCAAGATCAAAATACTGGATTTCTAGGAAACTTGATTGCAATCAGATGCTCCGATGAGTGGATTTCTTTTGCTCCAGTAAGTTTTGTTTCACGTCAAACAAATACAATACTCAGGTGTTTAAATTTTCAATATGAAATGTTAGAAATGTCAAATAGTTTTAGTACTTGTAAATGCTTGCTAACACAAAATAAAAGGTAAGTATTTCAATAAAAACAGCAAACCATGTGTTTTACTAACGAACGGTAAAGAACTATTACTTAAACAGGCAACGTACAGAAAAAAATGACGAACGGTATAAAATACACAACGTCCGGAATCAACAATACACTGGTTATACAAGTAAGCATCTAAGACTAGATTGCTTTTCAAATTGTAAATATCATCAATATTAAAATCATTCAATCACTATTTTCACTTATTGTACATGTTGTATGTCGAATAATCACATAAAACAACAATAAAAGTCATGGCATCTTCAAAAATTCCACATCAGAAATGATCGCACTTACAGTGATAATGCATCGCATTTATAGTTGAAATGAATCGCATTCAGTAATAACAATTATGGATTCAGCTGCTTTCATCAAACTTTTAAAACTTTGATCCTTTTATTGTATATTTTAAGTCATATTCTAATAAAATTGTGTTACTGTGGATTCATTTATTTTCGTGGGTATATATTTTCGTGAATTAAGGAAACCTTACATATTCGTGGATATTTAATTTCGTGGTTTTGCCAAAGTCTGCTTACAAGCCTTTAGAAAATTTGTCATTCGTCGAACATTTAATTTCGCGGTTCAACCGTACCAACGAAATACACGAAATTGGTATCCAACGAATAAGAGTGCATCCAAAGTAAATTACGTAAGTAAGTAATTATTTAGTATTTTCAAAAAGTAAAAAAAAACACCGTTTTCTCCATTATCTTTTATTCTACAATTATAGTAATACACGCGTACGACAGTGAAAGTGAACTAACTGGATTTGCACTTTATATACAGTGATTCTGTGATATGTTGTTTAACGGATGAAAAACCATCTACATAAGTGTCTAGGACAAAGAATGTAACACAATAATTAATAGCTCATTACTTACAAGTACTCTTACAGTTACAAACAATATTTAATAAATACAATTTAATGAACACCTATTTAAAAATTGTATCAAGGAAAAACAATATCAAACAATAGTATTTTGGTAATCGTTTTGAAAACACATTTAATGTTTACAAAGACGTAGGGATAAGACGTTTTAATATTCACTGAGGGTCACCATAGGATGCAACGAATTTATTTTATTTGGAAACATTTTCTTATCAACTATTATAAGGAACAGCTGGTTTTGTAACTTTGAAAATAACTGTCTTGAAGACGAAAATATTTTTTTTCTAACTGTACCGATTGGACGGAATGGCTAAGACATAGATATAAGAAGATGTGGTATGATTGCCAATGAGACAATTCTCCCTCCAAGTCACAATTTGTAAAAGTAAACCATTATAGGTCAAAATACGGTCTTCAACACGGAGCCTTGGCTCACACCGAACAGCAAGCTATAAAGGGCTCCAAAAATGACTAATGTAAAACCATTCAAAAGGGAAAACCAACGGTCTAATGTATATAAAAAACGAGAAACGAGAAACACTTATGAACCACATCAACAAACGACAACTACTGAACATCAGATTTTTGACTTGGGACAGGTGCAAACAAATGCAGCCGGTTTAAACGTTTATATAGGTACCAACCTTCGCTCTTATCTGAAACAATAGTGTAACAATACAACATAGAAAGACACACTATAAAATATCAATTGAAATGGCTTAACTCAATCAAAAGACATATTAACACAAGTGAACATACACTGAACGAATAAATTTGATCTATGATACAATGTAAATACAAAATCAATAAAATAAGGGTTGAATAAATAAAGGCAACAGTTTGTTTTAATGTGTTAGCCTCGGTAAAGCCCATATATTTTCGGAGGCATTTTAAATGACTATTTAGCACAAGCATTCGAAACAAAATGTATTTTATTTACTAGTATGATTAATCAGTGATGCCTATTTAATTTTCCGAAAGAGGTTATCAAGAAGATCACGTTTATATAAAGAAGACAACAATATTCTAACAGGAAACCGAGTAGTCGAGTATCGTTTTGGTATTCGATACTCGGTACTACCGAGCGATACTCGAATGCTCGAGTACTCGTTGACATCCCTTATTGTAATCAAAAGTTTGTAAACTACATTAAACGATACAACATAACTATCAAGATACAATTTGTTTATTCCTTTTGCTCTCTTTCTCAGATTGAAAATGCATTAGATTTGCAAAGCAACGAGGAAAAAAAATAATCTCACTTTGATTTGCATTTTGAATTGAGACCCTGTTTATATATAGTTTTTCGTTATACTTAAATCAATACAGGGACACCGAGAAACTACCAAAAACGAGATCAATGCCAATACATTCCTTATGAGACAGTTTTCAACTTCAGAAATTGAATATACTGCTTAACAGAAAGATAAACTAAATATAAAAAAGCATAAAAAGTAAAATAACAAAATTAACGAACTCAATGGAAAATTCAAAATGGAAAAAAATGAGAAGTTCAAACACATCAAATCGAATGGAAAACAACTGTCATATTACTGACGTTGAAAAGGTATTTCCTTATATAGATAATGGTGGATTAAACCTGGTTTTGTAACTAGCTAAACCTCTCACTTGCATGACAGTCGCATAGAATTCCATTATAATTGACAATTTGTAAGCAAAACAAACAGACATAATATGTAAAAATGTCAAAAATACGGGTACTGCAGTCACCATTGTGTTAATATCTAAATCACTTTAAAAACAAACAAATATGTCAACAAAGAAAAACAAAATGGCATATAGACAGAGCACATAATCAAAAATTAAAGACAATGACACAAAATATGGCCATAGCACAATAACACAATGTCTTATACTTTACAGCTATAAAATTGTTTGATGTCAAACCGAGTCCACATTCCATTCTTTGTTGATATATTTGGCTTTCAAACCAAATCATACGTTTAAACATAAGTAAATGAAAAACGGGTGCCAATGAGACAACTACCAAAATCCCTTTAATATTAAAAGTAAGCAGCTATAGGTTACTTTTTCAAACATCAATTTCATCATAATTAGAGCTCATGTATCTCGATGTGTAATTTTCCCCGCCCTTGTTTTCAGTATCTTGAACATGATCCAGTTCACATTCTTCATTGGTAACCTGTAGGTATCCTGTTTCTGGGGTGGCATATACATTCGGCGTAGTATCAAAAGCTGGAGCTGTATGATATCTGCAATGTATTACATTTTTCGTTCATAAAACAGAAAAATACTGAATTCGATTAAGAAAACACAAAACAAATTGATAATCATTACTGTCAGATATCGTCAATCAGATAGAATGAACAAATCAAAAACTGTAAAAGCCATTTTCACAGTTGTAGTTTGGTTTTCTAAAAAATAATAGGTCATGTCAATTTTTCCAGTATTTGGCCAGCAGCGTATTTTTTGTAACTTCATTTCGAAGAATTGGTAAACAAGTTTACATCTGGATGTCCATTCGTCATTATGAGCATCAATCAAAATAATTTTCGACTTTTATTCTAAGGATGTGCGAACTGTTTTAATTAATCACCTAATTCATTTATATGATTTTTAGTTTAAAGCAACTATATGCACAGTATTTATTTGTTTTACACAGTTTGATTTAGAAGAAAAACCAACATAGCTAGGAGATACAATTAATTACACCATTCTATATTAATATTCTAAACTAGTAAAATCCATTTTGTTCCTTTTTATAATCTTTTTCAATGTTTACCATAAATTGAATGCAGATATCATAAAGAAATACACATATTTTACAATATTCCATGTTTTTATTCTTATAATTGATAAAATTTACATTTAATGTTCGGGAAATTTCCCAAAATATATGAAAGTTTTAAAATATTTGTGGTAAAGATGTATGTGACAACTTTTAATTCGGGAAATGTCCCAAAATCATTTTCAACATTATTATTTATAACATATATGTTGGCAAAGATTGTTGACAAACAGATCTGAAACACATTTCGGGAAAAATCCCGACAAAAATAAACTAAGTGGAAAAAGTATAACACAGATGTCTTAGAATATTTTGGGATTTATTCCAAAAAATGAATGTATATGCTAGAACTCATGACTAATAATTTCTTTTCACATTTCGGGAAAAATCCCAAAAATATAAATCTATTATCAGGCACACACTTGTTACATAGATTATTTTTACCCATTTCGGGAAAAATCCCAAAATAAAATCTGGAAGCAAATTTTTAAAATTATGCTACAGATTTCTTACACATATTGGGAAAAATCCCGAAAAAACAAAATCTATAAGATATTACAACACAGAATTTTGATACATTTAGAAAGTTTTTATGTAAATTTGTTTCGAACATTTGTTAAAATTTTGATTCATAAAAAATATGTTTCTAACTGAAAAAAATATGTATTTTGTTTATAACCATACTTTTCATTACAGGTCAGAAAAAAGTATTTTCTAAGAAATATTAAGGTTGCTCTCTACTGCATCTCTTTTGTCATGCTTTAGTAATGCCCTAAATATAATATCAACCAAATTTGTCCCACAAAAAGGGGGGGTAGGCCTCCTCTAAATCCTCCTCTTATAAGTGGTCGATTTTAAACTGGCCTAAGCATAAACTTTCCATATAAACTGCAAAAGATTCTAAGTTATAAAACCATGATTTAGGGTTCAGGATAAAAAAATCCCAAAGCACATGTATTGTCCAAAAGCTTATTCAACTGCATATAAAATATCCCTGACCTACTTTTAGTGGTTCTCCTTAAACTGAACTTATCACAAATCTTACAGTGTAAACTAAGGAAATTTTCAAAGTCAATATTCCATTACTGAGAGGCTGGTGAGGAGGGCGGTGCTCTATGGGATTGAGATGTGTGTCCATAACACATTATACCCTGCTTCCACATTCAGATTTCCATATTCAGTAACTTATTTGTAATTACTTTAAAAATCAATGACTTCATAATGAACACTTGAAAGTACAAAGTTTCAAGTTTATTTGACCATAACATCATAGTAAACTATTGTACACAAAACCTTAACCTACTGTACTGTCTGTACATCTTGAAAACAAAATGATTGATAATAAAATGCTGGGCGCAGCTTGATACGACCGCAGAGGTCAAACCCTGAACAGTTGGGGCAAGTATGGACACAACATTCAAGCTTGATACAGCACTGAATTTGGATTGTAATTAAATATTTGACACAACATAGGTTTCTGACACAGAATGAATGTGGTCTAAGAACTAAAAAATTTTTAATTTACCTATTCAAACCATATCATTATTATTTGCTTTTACATATAAATCAGAAATAATCAATTTAAAATGGAAAATTTTAAAGAAAAAAAAAGGAAAAAAAAAATCCCCCCCCCCAATTTTTTGAACCCCCTTATAGTTCATCACCCCCAAACTCAATCCCAGTCTTCCCTTTGTGATATGGTACCTTGCAGTACAATTTCAGAGAGATCCATACACTTGAACACAAGTTATCGTCTGGAAACTAGAAAAATGCTTGTTTTTTTGCCCCTTTTTTGCCCCAAATTCCAAAACGTTTAAGGCAATTACCCCCAAACTCAAACCCAGCTTTCCCTTTGTGATATGGAACCTTGTAGTACAATTTCATAAAGATCCATACCCTTACACACAAGTTATTGTCCTGAAACTAGAAAAATGCTTGTTTTTTGCCCCTTTTTGGCCCCTAATTCCTAAAATTTTAAGGTAATTACCCCAAAAATCAATCCCAGCCTTCCCTTTGTGGTATGGTACCTTGCAGTACAATTTCAGAGAGATCCATACACTTGAACACAAGTTATTGTCTGGAAACTAGAAAAATGCTTATTTTTGGCCCCTTATTCCTAAACGTTTTGGGCAATTGCCCCCAAACTCAATTCCAGCTTTCCCTTTGTGATATGGAACCTTGTAGTACAATTTCAGAAAGATCCATACACTTACACACAAGTTATTGTCATGAAACTAGAAAAATGCTTTTTTGCCCCTTTTTTGGCCCCTAATTCCTAAAATTTTGAGGCAATTACCCCAAAAATCAATCCCAGCCTTCCCTTTGTGGTATGGTACCTTGCAGTACAATTTCAGAGAGATCCATACACTTGAACACAAGTTATTGTCTGGAAACTAGAAAAATGCTTATTTTTGGCCCCTTTTTGGCCCCTTATTCCTAAACGTTTTGGGCAATTACCCCCAAACTCAATTCCAGCTTTCCCTTTGTAATATGGAACCTTGTAGTACAATTTCAGAAAGATTAATACACTTACACACAAGTTATTTTCATGAAACTAGAAAAATGCTTGTTTTTTGCCCCTTTTTTGGCCCCTAATTCCTATAATTTTGAGGCAATTACCCCCAAAATCAATCCCAGCATTCCCTTTGTGATATGGAACCTTGTGGTACAATGTATGAGAGATCCATACACTAACACACAAGTTATATCTGGAAGTTACAAAAATGCTTATTTTTGGCCCCTAATTCCTTAACTGTTGGTACCATAACCCCCAAAATCAATCCCAACCTTTCTTTTGTGGTATTGAACCTTATGGTAAAATTTCATAGAGATCCATTCACTTAAACTAAAGTTAGAGTGCAAAAACCAATGTGTCTTCGGACGACGACGACGACGCCAACTTCATACCAATATACGACCGCAAAATTTTTTGGCGGTCGTATAAAAACTAGTTTCAACTCATTACTTCAAATGCCAATGAACTTTAAAAAATAGGAATAAAAAGAAAAAACTCAAACTCAAAAATATTCAATAATGTAGCCTCATTTCATTTTCCTAATTTGCACAATTTTGTTTTTGTCACAGAAAACATGGACGAAACTTTATCTTTAATTACATTTTTCTATATTTCTTTGATGTTCTCCACAACAAAATATCACAAGAGTACTAATTATTGATTTTATGATGATAGTCCTAAATATAAAGCTTTACTACCACTATCACATAAACTTAACATGATCCAAGAAAATGAGGTCAAGGTCATATAAACCAAACAAGAAATACATGTACACCTTACAATCATTCAATACACTAAATATAGTTGACCTATTGCTTATAGTTTCTAAGAAATAGACTTAACCAAGAAAACTAAACATTGACCAATGAACCATGAAAATAAGGTCAAGGTCAGATGAACCATGCCAGGCAGACATATACAGCTTACAATTCTTCCATACAACAAATATAGTTGATCTATTGCTTATAGTTTTAAGAAAAACAGACCAAAACACAAAAACTTAACACTGAGCAATGAACTGTGAAAATGAGGTCAAGGTCAAATAATACTTGCGAGACTGACATGTACATCATAAAATATTTCCATACACCAAATATAGTTGACTTTTATTGCATATAGTATTAGAAAAAAAGACCACAACTCCAAAACTTAACTTTGACCCCTGAACCATGAAAATGAAGTCAAGGTCAGATGACACCTGCCAGCTAAACATGTACACCTTACAATCATTCCATACACCAAATATAGTAGACTTATTGCAAACAGTATAAGAAAAACAGACCAAAACACAAAAACTTAACTAATCATTGAACCATGAAAATGAGGTCAAGGCCAGATGACACCTGCCAGTTGGACATGTACACCTTACAGTCCTTCTGTACACCAAATATACAAGACCTATTGCTTATAGTATCTGTGATATGGACTTGACCACCAAACCTTAACCTTGTTCACTGATCCAAGAAATGAGGTCGAGGTCAAGTGAAAACTGTCTGACAGGCATGAGGACCTTGCAAGGTACGCACATACTAAATATAGTTCACCTATTACTCATAATAAGAGAGAAATTAACATTACAAAAAATCTTAACTTTTTTTTAAAGTAGTCACTGAACCATGAAAATGAGGTCACGGTCAATGGAAATGTGACACATGGAAACATTGTAACATGAGGCATCTATATACAAAGTATGAAGCATCCAGGTCTTCCACCTTCTAAAATATAAAGCTTTTAAGAAGTTAGCTAACGCGGCCACCGCCGCCACCGGATCACTATCCCTATGTCGAGCTTTCTGCGACAAAAGTCGCAGGCTCGACAAAAAAGAAAAATACTGTTCTAAAATAAAATACATGTTCTATATAATATTACAAATACATACAATAAAATATAACTACAAATCATAGTAACATGTGAATAAATCTTCATAACATGTGCAATGCTTGTTATAT